ACATTTCTATCGGAGAAAGAACTGTAAGTTCGGTACTGTTGCGAGAGGAAGGAACGACGCAGTTGCCTATCTATTATGTGAGTAGAGTGATGCAGGGGGCCGAGACGAGGTATTCGGAGATCGAGAAATGTGCTTTAGCCGTGGTTGTAACTGGTCGCAAGTTAAGACCGTATTTCTTGAATCATAAGGTGAAGGTGCGAACGAATATGCCATTGGGAGAAACATTAGGTCGGCCATCGGTCTCTGGTCGATTGGTGAAGTGGGCGGTTGAACTGAGCGAGTATTCTCTGATGTACGAGCCAAGGAGAGCCATAAAGGCATAGGTGTTGGCTGATTTTATCCAGGAAGGCACGAAAGTCGAGGAGGAGTCAGAGGGATTATGGCAGTTGTTTGTAGATGGATCTGTGGCCCGAAGCGGAGCAGGATTGGGAATTGTTCTGGTTTCTCCCAAGGGTGATTATTTGGAATTCGCAGTTAAAGTGGGGTTCAAGATATCCAATAGTGAAGCTGAATATGAGGCGGTGATTAAGGGACTAAGCCTAGCCAGAGCGGGAGGTGCTCGAAAGTTGCAAGTACATTCCGATTCTCAACTGGTGGTTGGGCAGTTTCAAGAAGGTTTTGAAGTTAAAGAGGATCGGATGCAGAAATATGTGGATGAAATGAAGAAGCTGAGAGAGGAGTTTGAATCGTTCGAACTAATACAAATTCCTCGAGGAGAAAATGGTCGAGCAGACCTGTTGTCAAAAATTGCCCAAAGTTTGGTCGATTGTAAGAGCAGAAATGTCACTCTATTGCATCTGGAGAAAAGTGCAGTTGAGACTGAGGTGGCGGAGATCGAAGAGGTAGAGGATTGGAGGGCCCCGATCTTGGAGGAATTGAGAGAAGGGACTATGAAGGTGGTCAGGAGGTTTTTCGAGCAGGGAGGTATCCTTTACAAGCGGTCATATGGAGGACCACATTTACGCTGTGTCACCAAGGAAGAAGGTCGATATGTGCTGAGGGAGATGCATGAAGGTTGCTCCAGCGATCACAGTAAATCGGGGGCCTTGGTCGCAAGGATCCTAAGAGCAGGTTATTTCTGGCCGACAATGAGAGAAGATGCGAAAGCGATGGTAAAAAAGTATTTGCAGTGCCAGAAACACAGTCCCTTGATCCATCAGCCGGCTGAAGCGATGACAACAATGAGTGCCCCTATACCCTTCGCTCAATGGGGCGTCGATCTGGTGGGGCCAATGCCGCAGGGAACGGGACAAAGAAAATTCATGATAGTGGCGGTTGATTATTTCACGAAATGGGTGGAGGCTGAGCCCTTGGCGAAGATCACAGAAGAGAAAGTAATCAAATTCCTATATAGCAATATTTGCTGCCGTTTTGGTGTACCCAAAGTGTTGATTTCCGACAACGGCACCCAATTCAATGGTAAGCGGATTCGAGCATGGTGTGAAGATATGAGAATTGAGCAGCATTTCGCCTCGGTAGCTCATCCGCAAGCCAACGGCCAGGTCGAGGTAACCAATCGGATCATATTGAACGGGCTAAAAACAAAGTTGGAAAAGGCCTCGGGAGCATGGGTCGATGAGTTGAACTCTGTGTTGTGGGCGTATCGTACGACCCCTCGGTCGACCACCGGAGAAACCCCGTTCAGCTTAGCTTACGGAATAGAGGCATTACTGCCGGTCGAGATCGAGATGCCATCCCAGAGGTCGAGCACATACAATACAGAGCAGAATGAAGACTTGATGATAGCGGCTTTAGACACTATCGAGGAACTACGAGGGAAGGCAGCAATCAGGGTGGAGGCATACAAGTAGAGGATGCGCGCGGCTCACGACAAGAAAGTGAAGATTCGCAGACTTCAAGTCGGCGATTTAGTTTGGAAACGTGTCGATGTGCTCAAGCACGTGGGAAAGCTGGAGCCGAACTGGGAAGGACCATACCTGGTCGAGCGAGTGCACGCGGGAGGAGCGTACTCGCTTAAGGATGCTGAAGGCCGGTCACTTGCCAGGTCATGGAACATAGCTAATCTGAAAAAATATTATGTTTGATTTTTTTTATATATATATATGTTATTATTTCTGTACGACGTCTGAGAAATGTGAACAAGAATGTAAATCGCAAAATTTATCAAGAGGCAATGAAATTCAGTGATCTTTCTGGTTTTATTTATTTTATCGTACATTTTCTTATGTTGGGAATGTTGCTACAATTGAATGACAGGATGTATGTGGTATGGTTTAATCTAGAGGTCGCTTGTTTAGAACATTCCAGGGGTGGGCAGGTTGGCCGAAGACCTCCTGTTTAGAACATTCCT